AGAGAGAGAGAGAGAGAGAGAGAGAGAGAGAGAGAGAGAGAGAGAGAGAGGAGGAGGAGGAGGAGGAGAGCATCTATCAGAATATTTGTGCGATGTGTTGCAACGTGTCTTAAGGTGGATTCTCTTTATATTTCATCTTAAAATGAAGAAGATGACAATGTTGTTCGGAATGTTGAAATTGTTCTGCAAATGAAAAATTAAACGAGGGTAAATGGAAAAGCAAGCAGTCATATGATCCATTGCAATAAGATATGCGGCGGTTTGTGTGAATAATGTGTGTATGACGTCAAAATGTTAATGGGTTTAACTGTTTTTATTAAGTGAATATTGAATTAGTGCGTAAAATGTACGTACTCCCATATATGTACGCGGCGCACACTGTTCTTCACTCCAACGGCATTTCATACACCATGTATATATATCGGATCAGCAGTCAACAGTCACGGATTTTATGAATTTTTTTATTCTCATCTCTCTGTCTTTCTTCTCTTCAACTTCTTGCACTGTCATGTTTTGCACAGCATCTACATAATTTGAACACAATGGTGTTTTTAAGTGTCTTCAAACTACAATGAAGATGTAGCTAAATCTCGTCAACATGGAATCAAATAAAACTTAACCCAAAGGCAAATATATGCTTTTACTGCTGCAATGGCTCTGCAGCTGCTGTTTGGTGCTTTGCAATTGCAACAATCCATTCCGAACACTAACAATTGATTGAAATCATTGAAAGGCAATCGCACATCTTCGCTCTTGTTATGATAATTATTTGTGTTCGGTGCGCGCATTGGAATCGATTCCATTTGAATTTGAATTTTGTAGCATTGCAAATGAAACATCACCTTCGCACAATTGCGTATAGTATTGCTCCCATTTAACCAATTTCACACTTGAAATGCGAAATGGATCAAACAGGGGGCCATCACATATATACGCATATCATCATATACAATAATATGATGATTTCATTTTCTATGCCTGAGAAAACAATAATATTTGTTTGTTTGTTTTTTTTTTCGCGCGCAAAAATACCTTTGCATACAGTCATTCATTTCGCACTATTTCTGCTGCCAACTGCAATATGCTTCAGTCTAATTCAACGATGGATTACCCTCAATCATCAGTCGTTTGATACTTTTCATTGTTATTCATCCGTCTGTGCATAATTCCAATCTCTAGATCGTCCATTGAAATTACACTTGCCTCGAATCAATTTATCTCTTTACCGTTTCTTCGCATCTTATTTTATTGAATAAACATTTTATATTCTCTCTCTCATAAATGCAAACGATACTTAATTTTCAGAAAATTCACAACAAAATTTCCAGGAAAAAAAACCGCTTCTCTTTTTATAAATAATTCTATTTATTTGAAAATCGCCGCTAAAAGAAAATCAATCAAAAGCAGTGACAATCGCTCCTTGGAGAATTATATTGAATTAAAAAAACCGCTTCACTAACAATTAGCATAAATCAAAGTAGCAATCCCACTGAGAATTGAATTCAATAATGTTGGAAAATTAAATCGTTTCTAAGAAGGCCCTTTGTGTGTTGTCAAAGACTGACAACAAACGTTAAAATTTCTGTCATTTTACTCACGAATTCGTAAATGCTGATAAAAGGGAACACGGAAAACGCTGTTTTTGAATGAGATTTTTTTCCCCCAATACAATCTGTCAGTCTCAGTCTGGTTGCAAACTTCCTTCGCAAAATATCGAGTATATATACAAACATCGGTTTATAACATTTTCAAATTGAAATCGAATAGAAAGACGCCGTATTATAATTATCTAATTTCCTTTGGTCTCGCTGTTACGCGATTTCTATTGGACATTTGTTTTATTTAATGTACCATACGGCATTTTTATAATTGCCCATCGTTCAGTCAATTACATCATTTTAACGCAAGAAAAAAGTGCATCCAACAGACAGACAGATATGTGATTTTCACACACAGAGTGTACAAAATCACAGATTTTTTTCTTCAATTGCGCCCACCATCATGGTGTCCTAGTTGTTGTTATTACACGTTACCACTAATTGTAGACTATACTTCCGGTTTTGGCGACAATCAATCAATTTAACGAGCAAGAAATGTGGCTTCAAGAAAGAGAACACTACTTGGCGATATTTGATTAGTAAAAACTGACATGAACATTTTATTGTACCAAAACCTCGTTAGCTTCCCCATCAAATGGTTGTTTGTTATTGCTCAACGATGATATAATTATATAAAATTGTCGACACAATATAAATAATGATGTATACGACTCACTCCGCCGAACGCAATCGATATTTTCTAAATGAATGAAGAGTCACAGATAAATAAGCCATTACAATTGTAATTGCAATTATCTGTTGGTTGTATCTTTATAAAAGGAAACAAATTGAATGGATAGAGCAAAAAAAGAGCAATATGCCTCACATAGCATAATAACATATTTAAATAATACCATATAGATTTGAATGCCAGAGGTAAAAATGTGTGTGTCCAAGCACAACAAAACAACAACAAAAAAAAAGAACCGAAGGTAATATTCAATTTTCATTTATGTCGAATGGTTCCCATTGGCTTTTCTGACTCTTTTATGTATAAAATTCATCTTCCGCATTTGTACACCAGTTGAATTGATGATGATATTGCATTTGGTAACACAATTTCGATGCATTCAATTGATTCAGTTATGCGCGGTGGCTTCGGTGAAGGGAAACAACAACTCTTGTTGGTGATTGTATTACATATGCATCCAAAAACAGCTACAAATCGAAAGTGTATTTATCTGCGATGCATAATAATTTGTGTATGTGTGTGTGTGTGGCACCGAACAACAAGAATGTTGAGACAAATGATTGCAACGAGACAAGATGACTGTGCAGATTTTCATTCGATTTTTGAATGGTGCACCAGTTCGTTTGGCGCGCATAATATGTGTAAAAGACGAATGTGCATGGAAAAAAATTGTGAAAGAGACACACACGGGAAAAAAGTAGAGACGAAATTAAGTTCACATCGCACAAGAATCTATATGTTTGCAAAAAAACAACAACAACAACCTAAAACGGGGCCTAATCATAAATAGAAAATGTATGCGGCAATCGAGAGTCTCATAGAGGAAAATGTCTACAGTTTTTTGTTTACGCAAACACTTGTAACGAGTTTTCAACTCAGTCAACGTTCAATTTGAACCATAATTAATGTAACTTTTCTTTCTTCTGCCAATATCACACAAACACACACACAAACATACATGTTATTATTAAATGCATACATGAATTTCTCATCAGTTTTTAGCCGTCCAAGTAATCAAGAAAATAAAATGCACGTTGTGCATTTCTTTTGTTGTTGCAATGAACCCACGAAAACACGGCAAGCAAAAATACAAAGGAAAAACACACAACACCAGCGGCGAGCGTCAGTCTCGCATACCTAATAATATATGTGAAATAAACAAAGTGGTTAAAGTGTGGCAAAATGTTGTGTGTCAAAGATTTGCAGTAGAAAAATATGCGACTAACGACTTTTACGATGTTTGCGCCGGATCATTTTCTGTTTTCAACGGTGAAAACCGTCTTATTTAGTGCACAAGCAAACTGTGTGTGTGCACAACACTCTTTTGCACACAATTTTTTTTATGTACATGTAGTAGAACGCGTTTCATTCAATTCAAATCGGGTTTACTTGATTTTGACTCAATCTTGCATCTTCTCATGCACACACACACTTACACACATAACGTCATTGCACAATTTATTCACTTTGCACGAATTGATCTGGACACTTAGGCACTTTATTGTGCAAAAATAAAATTTCATGGTGTCGCGGGCGCGCGCGAAAGTAAATTGCATATATGTTGATGTATGCGGACATCTTTTTTTCTCCATTTGCAAGTAAAATGTGTATGAAATTCAGTGCGCTAGAGACGAACGAGAGCAGAAGAAAAATCGCAAACACAAATAATGCAGAGCCTAGTCAATGTGTCATAAATACGAGAGAGAAAGAGGAAAAAAATGCTGGACTGAGCGAAAAAGAAAAAGATATTATCGAATGTGGTCATAATTTGTTTTTTAATGCGTTATATGCTCTCGCACTCACCATTTCTGGCCATAATTGATGTTGTCGTTGGTCGCGACATCAACGAACAAGATTTATGTTACACACAAACATATATACGAATCTATCACACAATGCACAACGTTTATTATTTACATTTGACTTTAAATCATACCGATGTCTTCACACAATTACACATTTATCACAAGCACACATATAACACCGCTCTTGGGGCTCAAATCTGTTGTGTTTTCTTCTTTTATTTTTTTTTTATCGATTACAAAACTACACCGTTTTTGTTCGTCGTCGTCGTCTTCTTTTTTTATGTTGTATGCTGCTAAAATTTCATGCTGCTGAAATCGAAATGGTTTTCTTTCGTCATCGTCTTCTTCTTTATTCGGTTGCAGTTTTTTTTAATGCGTAGTCCATTCAATGTGATTGTCTTTGGTGGTTGCCAATATGCTAGCATCCGTGTGATTCGCATTCAAAAGTAAAATGTGTTTTTATGCCCAAAACAAAGCAACCGCTGACCAGAGAACACAAAAACAACAACAACATAAAA